GTGACCTTCTTTGATCTTAGGCTAAACAATGGCAGGTCTGGCCAGTTGTCTAGGGAGCCATTCACTAGCACACTTTACAAGACTGTAAAAGGAGAACCTAATTGTTACAGAATTCACAGAAAAAAAGGTAAGCCATCCTAGAGAATTTTAGGATTCATACATCATGCTCATACAGTGGGTGGGAGAGGAAGGAAGGAAAGGAATTATGGGAAGACAGCATCTTAAGATGGCATTTCTCCCTTCCTACCCATGAGTTTCCTTAGCTCCACACAAAGATGAAATATACCCGTAGACCCTAGTAAGTGCATAAGGGAAGGCTCTAGCTAAGCAAATGAGTCAGTTTCCACTAAATATTACATAACCAATTAAGTTCAAACTTTTATAGCAAGTCTAAGAAGCTTATCAGTGTCTTAAGAAACTGGGTAGGGAATCCTTCAATGGATGAATCTAATAACTTTAGTATGGTGCGTCTCATATCATTTTGTCAAACTAGGATCTGGCCAAAATATTGAAATGTTTAACTGAGTACAAATATTATAATGTCTTAATTTACAAATGTTTTGTCTGATGGGTTTGGTAGAAAAACAATCTACCCCAAAAAGTACAAGGGACACTACTTTATTAAAAGCTTTCCTTTTAATAGCTGTTTTGTTCTCAAGCAATTACTTGATACCATATGTAATGGAACAAACGTCATACTAGCATTACTATTTATGATTTTAACTTGCTAACTACAGATTGTAATTAATCTGTCTTTGATCCTGAGGGCTACAATCCCATCTGGCTGGGTCCAGTCTATTTAGACATATGATGTTTCTCAGAGTGCATTTACACTGAAACCCAGAGATGCAACTGTGGTTCGTATGGATGTAACCAAGCTAGGTTGTAACTAGCTAGAGAATCAACAATTAAATTTGAGAATCTAGGGTAGGTTGAAAAAACAGACTGGTACAGTGAATAAATACCATGTGGTTAGCCAGGGCTCATGTCGCAGCTACTCTTGGTCTCCGAACTAGTTCATATGGAGTGTCTGTACATAAGCATGGAGGCTGCTATGACATGCTGTGATTACAGCGCATTAGAGCAGGCTCAATTAATCCAGCCTGCTGGAGCATGGCAGTTACTGTGCCTCCCACGTCTCGTGTATCAGTGTCCCTGCACTTAAATGGTGATCGGGGTGCTTGAATTGAAGCTTCTTGAACAATCTTTAGTTCAAGTGACTCTGTCCCCATTTGAAGTGCAGGGATACTGATACATGAGATGCTGCGGCACTTTAATTAGAGCAGCTCTCATGGTTCCAGTCATGAGTAGGGGGAGTTAATTAGAACATGGATCCTTTTCGGGAGTACTGAGTAGTGCTGTCTACTCTCTGTCTACTTCAGAAAAGCAGACTTTATCTAACTTAACAACCTGGTGAGTAGCATCTGAATAGTGCTGAGCTATGGGGTCACCATGGATTGAAACTGTTGATTTTGCTGGGGCCTAGCCCAATGAACTATATGGTAAATCATGAGCTTTTTTGTTTTTAGACTGAAATTATGCATAGTTTGTACTATGTATGAGTAGGTACAGAAGTGCTGCTTAAAAGTGTGTTTATGGATTACCTGTGCTAAAACTTGCAGCAGTTTCAAAGAAGACAAACCGCCAATAAATAAAATTCTTTACCTGGAAAATTTATAAGAAATTTTTCCATATACAGGATCTCATTATTGGGGAGCCCCCTTATAGTCAGGGTCATAGATTTCATAGATGTTTAGGGTTGGAAGGGACCTT